TTTTATTATTATTATTTTATAATTATTTATTTTCAAATCAAATCTCAATTTGTTTTTGTTTGAAATCCAATGGTCCAATTTGATTTTGGTTTCAAAATAATTTCAAATCTCTTTTCCCCTATTTAAACATCCTTCTTTACCCAAAATTTGAATAATATCCTCCCCAATTTTCTGTCCAATCTCTTCATGTTTTTCTCTCCAAAATTTCAATGTTCTTATAATTTCTTTTGAGAGAGATTTTTTATTTGAGAGATATTTGGGCTTCTAATTTTAGTTCTCTTAGTTCTCTTAGCCAAATTGAGGAGTTTTATTTGTAATTTTTTCTTACAAATTTGTGAACAAAAATCTGTATACTCACTCTTTGGAAGAGTTTGTAAGTTTGTTCTTAAATTTCCATATCCGTGGAAATGATCGAGTTTCTTCTTGCTCCTAGAAAAAGAAGACTTTGTACCGGTTTGACTCTTACCGTGGAAAGAGTCAAGTTTCCTAGTAGAACACCCAAGAGGAGCTTGGGAAGTGGAGTAGACCGATTGTTGCCGAACCACCATAAATTTTCGGTGTCATTTTCTCTAACTCTTCTCTATTTAATTTTTGCAATTAATTTTCTTTACTATAAATTGCATGAAATTACTTGTTTGAATTTGTTATTCATGTTTATGGTCAATATTTATATTTGAATTATTTGGGTGGTGAAATTAATTAGGGTGTTTGTATTTTTAATTTGTTGTTTAATTTTGTGTTAAAATCATTTGTTCATAACAAAAAAAGTTTATTTATTTGTTTAAAGGTTTCATTCCAGATGAAATCCCTCATAAGTTTTTCCATCGCCTTAATCACTGCTATAGAGGTTATTTCTTTAGACAAAGTGAGTCTACCGCGCTTGGAAAGCATTAAGTTTCTCCATTTTTGAAGTCTTTGGATCATTTGGATCCAAAAAGCTTATAATATGATGATTACCACTAGGGGAAAACTAAAATATGAAAAAGGAAAATATTCCCCCTACCACCAAAAGACATCGCATGTTTCCAAAAAAAAAAAAATGAAGAAAGAAAAGAAAAGAAAAGAAAAGAAGGCACTGCCCAAAATTCAACCTCGAAAGGACTGCAATTAAGGCCCATCGTTGTTGTTTTGGAGATATTAAGGGACAAACCTGAGGCCAGTAGAAAAACATTGAGAACACCCCACCAGTTTCCATCACGGACAAAGAATAAGGACAAAATACCAACATATCATCTACATACTGAAGATGGGTGACTTCTATCCTATTAGAACCTAAAAGGAGCCCCTCAGGATGTTCCTCTCTCGGCAAAAATTAATTAATCTACCCAAAGCATCGCCCACAGTAAAAAAGAGAAAAGGGGAGAGGGGATCTTCTTATATAAGGTCATTTTTGGCAAAAATCTTACCTCTATGCTTACAATAAATTATGACCGAAAAGTTGGAGGACGAGAGACAGCCCAGAATCTACCTACACTATCTAATATCAAAGCTTTTAAGCTTTAAGACAACATCTAGAAACGACTAATCCACTTTGTCGTAGGCCTTTTCGAAGTCAAGCTTTAACTAAAAGAAATCCTTTCTTCTTCTCCCTTTTCCAAAGCCCCCACTGCTTTAGACGCTACCAAAATTGCATCAAGCATTTGACAACCTTCTACAAAAGCTACTTGTGCGATGTTGATAATGAGGGGAAGAACTTTCTTAAGTATCTCAATAAGCACCTTGACAATTTGTACGACTCTTATAAAATGCTACTGAAGTTATTTGTTATTGCACTTGTAAAGCGCTATAATAGTTGCACCGTTAGAACTTAAAGGAAACCCCTCAAGATATTTTTATTATAGCAAAAATTAATCAATCTATTCAAATGATCGCCACAATTAAAAAAAAAAAAAAAGGAAAAGGAAGTGGGAGAATGGAACTCCTTGTATATAAGGCCCTTTTAGCAAAGTTGAGAATGAGAGATAGCTCATAATCTACCTACGCCATCTAAAATCAAAGCCTTTAAACTCTAAAATAACATTTAGAAATGCCAATCCACTTTGTCCTTGGCCTTTTCAAAGTCAAGCTTTAACAAAATCTTTTCCCTTTCCAAAGCCCCACCGTTTTAGACGCTACTAAAAAGATTTGTGGATCTTCCACAAAAGCGGCTTATGCATCGATGATAGCGAGGGGAAGAACTTTCTTAATTATCTTAGTAAACACCTTGGTAATTTTTATGACTCTTATAAAATACTATTAAAATTATTTATTATATCTATAGTATATATAAAAAGGGCTATAGGGAGAAGTTTCTCCCTATTTTGCCCTTTTAATTTCAACATTTTCATAGATATTTTGGGGGCAATTTTGTCCTTCAAATATAAAATTTTCTCTCGCTCCCGTTTCTCTCCCTCCCACGCCACTTTCCTTTTTTTTTTTCATTTCTTTTAAAATATTTAATCTCCATTATTACAAATTTTACATTTCTCAAATTAATTTTCTCTTTCTAATAAACTCTCCATCTTAAAGGTTAGAATATAAAGAGTTAGAATATGAAGTTTTGTCTCTTTATTTCTATGTTAAAAAATTATAACTTATTTTGAATTATAATTAATAAAGAATTTCAAAAGTTTCGTAACTTTTTATTTTTTACACCTATATAAAGAGTTTTTTCTTACTCTTTCTCCCAACTTTTTCTTCATCAAAACTTGAGTTTCTTTTCTCTTTCGGTAGGTAAATTTTCTCCTTTAGTCAATGTCTTGTGTTTTCTTATATTTAGTTAGGTTGTTTGATCGAATACAACTTTTTTAGTTATTTTTTTTCCAAACGACTCAATTAACTGGAAAAAGAAAAGTGAAAATGAGTGATAAGGTCGAATCACCTTCGACGGATTCACTTTGGGATGACACTTGATAACCGAGGACTCTCTCAATGACCTCCTCCTTGGTAAGGTGATCATCATGTGATGAAAATAGCCGGAGCAATCCATCTGAACATGGCTGTGGTTGGCATTCCTGATGAGCTAAGACAAGGAATTGGACTGGAACTCAAACATGGCAAAGAACGGCTGTCCTGAACGCATCTCTATCTCTCACTATTTTCTTTTTTTGTCATTTTATTTTTCAATGACTCAAACAAAAAATTGAAACAAAGTTGTATTTACTTTTACTTATTGTTATGTTCAGGGAAAAAAAAGATGAAAAATCCATGAATATGTGTTTTTTTTAAAAAAAATTTAAGTAATTGAAGAATAATACTTTTAGTCACACTAACCACATCAATGAGTGATGAGAATTATTGAGACGTTGTTTTATGAGATAAACATTGAAAATATGAAAAAACTTGGTGAGGTAAACATTTAGAGAAAAAAACCAAACTATATTATAAATTTTAACTATTTAATTAAATTTTATATTTTAAAACGTTGAAATAAAAACTAGGAAATTTCACGTGCACCGCACGTGTTTCTTACTAGTCATTTTTAAAACGATATAAAAAGTTCCCGACTTTGAATAACTTAGGAGGTCACGAATTTGGTCAAAATGCTAGAAAAGGCATAAACATTTTTGTATAGCTATCATAGGTAAGTGTTTATCTTTTAGAGTTGGTGAACTTATTTTTTTGGTTATCTTAAATGGAATCTACCGAATTTTCATCAACATCCACATTTTAATATTTGTCGGACACAATATATTAAATATCTGTTGACATGGTGATATTTACATATTCCTATGGATTCGGACTAATATTAAAACTAAAATGATGGGATTGCAGTTTCATTTTTTTTAATATCAGTGCATTTATGTTTTAAGTTGATTTACGTGGATTTTTTTCTTCATTTTTTGAAAAGATTTGCGTGAATTCTGTTATTGAAAGATTAAGCTATATATGAGAGGATTTTTGTTGATTTGTTGAATTGGTAATTGATTCTCAAATTAAAAAGATTGATCTCCCTCTTTCACGCTCTCTTTGTCGCTCTCTCTCCTTTCTCTCTCTCTCTTTGTCGCTCTGTCTTCTCTCTCTTTCTTCTCTCTCTTTCTCGTCTCTCTTTCTCGCTCTCTCTCCCCTCTCTCGTTCTCTTTCTCCTCTCTCGTTTTCTCTCTCCTCTCTCGTTCTCTTTCTCGTTTTCTCTCTCTTCTCGTTTTTCTCCGTCCCTCTCTTCTCATTTTCTTATTCTCTCCCTTCTGGTTTTGTTGTTCTCTCTGCAAAGGCATTCCGGGCGGCGACGATGTCTTTCATAAACAATTTTCTATCCTCACATCGGGAAACTACCTCCTCTTTTTCGATTTTAGATTGTGAACAAGGTCTACTTTACGCTTGCGATGTTTTTCGAATATCGGAAAAAGTTTGGCGGTTTCTTTCATTTCTTCGTTGAAGATAGAGAAAGTTTGAGGGAGAGGGAAGAGAGAGAAGGAACACGAAGAGAGATGGGGGAGAGAAGAAGATGAAGAACCAAGGAGAGAGAAAATCATATTCAAATGAAAAAGAGGGAGGGAAAGTAAAAATTTAACTCAAGTAGTGGAGGGACACAATGATCATTTAGTTTATTGAATGATGTAAGCAAATGTTTACAAAATATAAAAATGAGAAGAGAAGCACGTTTCATAATAGACATTTGAGAAAGGCTATTCAATCCAAAAATCCAAAAAGCATTGATAAAATATTAAAAATATCAACACAATATCACTATAGACATAATATTAATATTAATAATTTTTAACTTTTTAATGAAAGGTTTATTTATCAATTTAAATATTTATTACAAATTTTTTATTTTTATACTTTTTTTTTTCTTTTCAAAAATCTCTATCTACATCGATATTTTATAGATATTTCTATCTCTATTTCCATAAAATTGAGAACTCCGACATTTTCATCAACATCAACGTTTTAAAATCTTGAAATTGGCATTCATCGATACTTTGATTTACATTTACATAAAATTAAGATCTCAACATTTTCATCCACATCAATATTTAAAACCTTGATTAAAAGACACAACTCCATTGGTAAGAGAAGAGTGAAGAAAACATATTCTTTACAAGATTAAGAAGAAGAAACTATTACAAGTTCAGTAAGTGGCTGAATAAAGCTAGTTAGTTCTTAGAGCAAATAATATACATCCCTCGGTTATAACTTAAATTTCAAATTCTTGTCTTCACCAAAATGGCATAAGCTTTTTGAAAATGTACTAACTTTACAATCTTTTTGTCGATCTCAGCATAATTCATATGATTAAGACATATTCCCAACTAAAAGATCGTAGGAATTCGAATCACCCACATGTTGTACTAAAAAAAGCTTTATCATCAAGATGGTCTTTGCGACTCTGGCAGGTATTTGACATACACGTTGTGTATTGTTTTCATGTAGTCGTCGATCTTCTCCACTGTCCAATTATAGGTTGTTATCGGAGGAAGATACTTGACAGTCAGAGGGGCTGGTCGGACATGTAAGCTGCCCTTTCTCCAAGCTCGATGAGTGCCGGTGAAGACGATAGGAACTATTGGCAGCTGTGTTTGCAATGCCAAATGGACAAACCCCTGCAACCAAAAAATGCAACAATATTCCTTTGCCTGGTGTCTAAATATAGACAATGAGCACAACATTAATGATTGATTGTACTCGATCACTGATATCGATATCGAACCATGAACACAACACATCAAACATCCACCTTAATCAGACAAAAATATTAGATTTTTGACAAAATATTATTAGAAGAGCAAAAATCTCACGTTTGAAAGGTAGAGCGTGCTCCAAGTGCAAGTTACCTTTTTGAAGGGGAGCAGCCTTCCATCTTTAGACCGAGTTCCCTCGGGGAATATGATCAAGGATAAGTTGTTTTCTGAAACTGCTCGAGCTACCTAAGAACGTGAAGGAACGTACACATACACATATACACTATTACTGATGACGAGGAGGAAATGAGGATCAACCAAGAAAGAAAAATGCAGGAATCAAGAAGTACCTGCTTCATGGACTCAACTGCTGCAACTGGATTCGAACGATCGATGCGAAGATGGTTCGCGAGAATGTACAGTTGTCCAAATAGAGGGTACCATATGATCTATGCCAAACAAAAAAACCTCCATATTAGCAAAGTATAAGGCTGTCTGCAGCTTTGTCACAATAATAGTTCCTAAGAACATTTTGTATAAACTGGGAAACTAAATGGTGATGAATCTACATTGAACTTGGCATGACCCAACCTGATGTTAGAATACTATAGTGAAATCACTTGACCAAATGCACCCGGAAAGGAGCCAAAAAAGTAACTACAGGGTTGGAAATCGAGGTCAAAACAAAACGAATGTCAAAGAATGAGGCACATCATAAGTTATAGATTAAAATACTATTTTGATCCCTATAATTTCAAATCTTGTTCATTTTGATTCCTATACTTTCAACTTTTGTCTATTTAATATTTGAAAACATTCATTTTGGTCCCTATATTTTTAAAAAGCAATTATTTTTTGTCCTTTAATTTCATTTTTTATCTCATTTTCTTCGATCACAATTTCAACACGACATTGCACTCAATATATTTCTTGAAATGTAGTTATAACTTTGTATCAAAGGATTTCCATTATGGATATATTTTGTTGTAAAATTTGGCAAACATAGACCAAAATCCTCTTAACAGTATAGGGGCCAAAATAAACGTTTTAAAAATATAGGGATTAAAATGAATAAAAGTTGAAACTATAAGGACCAAAATAAATATTTTAAAACTAGATAGACCAAAATAAATATTTTAAGACTAGATACACCAAAATGACAGAGATCAAAATAGTATTTTAACCTATATTATAATGAGGGTGTTTTATCCTGCAAGCAGAAGGAAACTTGGGATGTGACATTTTTCCAAGAAATGACATCAGATAGAGGAAGAATTGAACTACAAATCTCTACACCTTTGAACTAATTGAATTTCTGAAGAACTAAATATAAATAGGAAAAAGAATCTCCATGAACTGTTTAAGTAGGAATATACAGGTATACCTCCTTTTTTGCAATGCCAACAGAGCCAGTGGGTGTCAGCCACATTATGAGGAAAATGTCCAAGGGTGATGCATGGTTGCAAATGTAAATAGCCCTCTCATTGCAAAATTCAGAACCTTCAATCTTTATTGGATTCCCAAGGATCCACATCTGCAAAATAACAAATGTACAAAACAAAATATACAAAATTCTTTGTCACTCAACCACCTATCCAAATTAAAGCTTTACAACACAAGTTTGGGGGAAACCCTCTTTCTTGTTGCTTTAACTCAATCAAACAATCTTTAGCTCTATCTTATCATAGTTTAATGAGGGTGAAATAGCTCCTTATTTGACAACTCCCCTGGTCAAGGATGAGTAACATCAATTTCTCTAGGTTTCGATTACCAATGAATAGAGACTTTACAAATAAAGCCTGAGGAGTGACATCCTATTGCATTTATTTTACATTTATATGGTTACCATTATCTACAGCTATGATGTAGGACCAGACGGACTGTTAGCTAATGTGAATCGTCTTACAAGAATCGACTATGGTATAGATCAATTGGAAGAGATATATATAGAAGTATTTGCTGCAAGGATAAATTCTAAAATTTCATCTGTTTTTTGGGTTTGGAAAAGTGCAGATTTTCTAGAAAGGGAATCTTATGTTTATGTAAATTAGCATAACAATGGAAGACAGTAGCAACAAAGATGGCTTTACCAGTAATCTACCAGTCACATGGCCATATATATTGCCCTGTCTAATCCTCTGGTATGGCCATGGGAGAAGCACAAGCATAATCAGAGCCCAGATAGAAGTAGTGACCATCATAGCCAGAAAGCAAGTGACAATTCTGAAACATGAGATCAGAACTGAACTCCATCCATTATCATCCACATAGAAATCAGCCCTCTCCATCCTTCTTATCTGTTGTTCATCAACAGAACATTTTGGGGTTTCTCTCTTGATTGGTTCATAGCTTGTATTGAAGCAGCTCTCTAACCTTCTACTCCTCAAAGAAGCAGCTCCAAGATTATCCATGCTGTATATTGGCAAGATTTTGATGAAAATGATGCAAAAATTAGCAATCAAAGAGAGAGCTCATTCTATGTCCAGACATCAGACTAAGTTTAAGATGAATTGTACAGTTTAAGAACACAAAAGTCAGCATGGTTACTTGAAAAGAGAAGCAAAAGAATTATGGGTTCTGACAAACATTATGTGTCGTATGAGAAGCTGAAGGGGAAAAATGATTTCTCCAAACAAAAAAAAGTTGGGTTCAAAAATCCCCTGAAGGTTGAATCGGTTGAGCAGAAGTTTCCCAAAGTTAATCCCCCATTCCATTTAATCAAACAGCACTCTCAAGCACTTACCACTTGGGATTGGTTGTGAAGAACTTTGTTATTCTTCTGTGGGGGTGAATCCCAACTTTCTCGGGAGCCAAACAGGCCCAGAATCGCGAGAAAAGTTTTGACAAAGAACCAACCAAAAACACCCACTTGGGAAATCCAAGTCCAGAAAAAGATGGAGAAAGGCAGAGGAGAGGAAAAGGGTGGATGGAAAATCCAGAAGAATGTGTGGAGAAAAGGGGAAGAAGAAGAAGAACAAGAAGTAAAAACAAATGGGAAATTGACTCAATTGATCTGAAAAAGTTTCTATTTTGCTCAAATGACCTAAATTATAAAAATTGACTCAACTGACCCAGTTTTAACTTTTCTGACATTTCAGAGAGTCTACAATTACGAATATACCCCCAAATGAATTGAACTACAACAAATCTGGCACAGGATCACCTAGGTTGGTGTAATTAAAACCATGGGCGAGTTCCACTTGATTCATGGCCATGAATTTATTAAAATACCACCAACTTAATAATTCCCCAC